GGCTGACCCAGAGTTACTGTAGTCTAATCCTGCTGTTCCAACCCTCCCTCCCTGCTGTCCTGCCTTCAAGTGAGGACCTGGCGTTCTCCAGGCCAGACACCACACTGAGCCTTTTCTGTGTTGGCTGGAATTCACCCTGGTCCCCGACAGCTGTCCTTGCTGACTCTGTGAGGAGCAGGCCTTTGGACTCACTTCTGGGAGTGGTGCTGAGGCTCAGCAGGAGGCTCAGAGGGAGATGTCCACAGGGCTGGTGGGGCGGTATTAGCTGCCCGGTGAGGCTAGAGAAGCATCCTTCACACTTACAAGCAAGGTTCTGTGCTGCTCTTTGGCCAATGTCTTGAGTGTTTCCTTGGGAATCTGGAGGTCTTTAAACAAAATGCAACCTGCTTGGGACTGCTGGTGATAAATGGGGCCGGATTCCCTGGCTGCTGTATTCCAGTTCTTGATTCTTAAATTTTTAAAAATGATATATTGACTGGTGTAGACACCATGCTAGTCACACCAGTGGTTCCGACTTGACTACCTTGGAGTCACCTGGGGAGTTTTAGAAACTACCTGGCATTGGGGACTTTAAAAGTGGCCCTGGTGGTTCCACTGCATGGCCAGGGTCGAGCACTGCTAACCATCCATCTGGTTCACTCCTGTTTAACCCCCAGCCATTGTCTGAGGCAGGTCGTCTTCCCCACCTTACAGGATGTGAGAGGTGCAGTCACTTGCATACAGGGGCAGTGTTCCGTCTTTTCCTGAAGTGGCTCAGGTGACACACACTGCTCATGAGCCACTGAGAGTGGGTCAGAGCCTGTCCTCCAGGAGCTGGCATTGCTGGGCAAAGGAGGTGTTGGTGATATAGGAACATCGAGGAGGAACTGGATGTAGGGACTTTGAAGGCATCAGGTAAGGTTTTCGCAGAGAGGTAACTTGAAGAGAAGCCAGAGGGGTGAGAGCACGTGAAGAGGTTAGGGGGTGGTCCACACTCCAGAATTCTGAAACAGAATAGGTGTGGACAAAGTGGATGGGTGTCAGAAGCAGGAAAAGTCAGCTGGGGAAGGTCACAAGAAGCCCTGAGGGTCGTGCTCAAGAGTTTAACAGCCCCACTTTCATCAGCCCACAAACTTGCCTGGAGCTGCTCTGTGCTGCCCAGTCAGATGGCAAACGAGCTGAGAGCCAGAGCCCTTCGGAGTGTCAACCTGTGAAGGGACGTCCAGCGCTCCGTTTAATGCTCTGCTGTCACATTTTGAGATTCTTACAAGTTTACCTTTGACCCTGTATTTGGGGAGTGGAGCTCATGCCTGCGCAGAGATAACCACAAAGGCGTGTCCCAGGAGCTTCTCGATGCCCCGGGGCATGGAGCTCCCGTGGCCCCACGGGGAGTGGGAGAGGAGCAGGGGATTGGTGCGCTCACAAGGCAGAAGAGTCGTGGGGCTCTGACAGCCCCTAGAGGCCACGAGGCCGCCGCGCTGAGCGAGGGCCGTGGTTCTGAGGAGCACGAGTGCCCACGCAGATGAGAGTGCTCGCTCGTGCTACTTCCTCCTACTAGCCACCCCTCGCTGCGAAAGCGGAGACACGGGAGGAGAGGCAGAGCTGCAGCAGCCGCCCTCCCCCCTCCCCCCTCCCCCCCAGTGAGCAAAGGTAGAGAGCAGGAGTAGGATGTGTGAGCGTCAAGAACTGGAATAACAGTTGAGTTCATTTTTGTGCAGCATTTCCACTGTCTGGTGAGAAAAAAACACAAATGCATTTACGCATTACAAAATATGACTCCACATATGTTAGCATTTAAAACTGGCATTGCACAATATAAGGCTGAACTGTAAAATTCTTGCTAATAATTTAAATTTTTCTTTTTCTGTACATAGAATGACATCAAATAGTAAATTTTAAAAACACCATGATAGGTTTTGAAAGAAACCATGAAAAGGAAAAAGCTTTATATTTTAGTATGACTTTTATACTTAACAGTCCTTTTTTCCTACATTCTCATCTTGCACTGTGTCCCCCAAATTATGTTCTAGCCCTGGTAGAACCCAGTCTCTGCCCTCAAGAAAATGGCTATTTGTGGAACATATATGTGGACTATCTATTTGTTGTAATCTGTTTTAATCTTCCAAGCAATCCTGCGAGATGGGCCAGCATTGAGTAATTGTCACAGATGAGGAAAGACAAGTCACCTGAGGTCACATCTAGTATCGTCACATGTGGTGAGAGGCAAGGGTCAAGTCCTGGTCTTTCTGACACCAAGACATGTTCTCTGTCCACCATGTCGTGTTACCTTAAATGGGTCCAACTTTTTTTTAAATGTTTTAAGTTTTTTAAAGGTGCCTTTCCCAGAAATAACAAAACCAGCCCTCTGCTGAGCCAGGTGTCACGCTGTGCTGTAGTTATTTGTTCCCCGAGCCAGGCAGAGTTCCTTGATAACAGCAGCTTTGCTTTTTGACTTTGTCTTTCCTCTCCCATGCAGGCCCCCGTGGATGTGACACACATGCCGCTAGGTGTAGTGTTGAGCAGAGCCGGTGCCCTGCCTGCCCACATGAAGCATGTAGTCTAGTGGAAGAAGCAGGCATTAATCAGATAATCAAATGTCATGTCTCCGCAACCAAAATTCTTTTTTTTTTTTTTAATCCCCCCAAGAATATATTTTTTCCATTGATTTTCAGAGTGGGAAGGAAGGGGATGGAGAGAGGGGAGAGAGACACATCGATTGGTTGCCTTCCACATGCACCCAGACTGGGGCTGGGGATGGAGCCTGCAACCCAGGTGCATGCCCTTGACCGGGAATCGAACCCGTGACCCTTCGGTGCTCAAGCCAACACTCTAACCACTGAACCACACTAGCCAGGACCAAAATTGTTGATTAGGACAGTGACGTGATGCAGTCTACATGTTAGAAATCACTTCTGCCTGAAGACTTGGAGTCACTGGGAGGAATGAAGCAGGGGAGGGATGTTGAGTTAAGCCTCCAGATGTCAGGCAGGCCTGTGCGAGTCTTGGGGCAAACCTGAGACGTTTCACTGGTAAATGGGAAGGACTAGGGAGTCTGATAGGTCCACTGTGGGTAGCTATGGAGAAGGAAGGGAAGGAGGAAGGGAGAAGGGAAGGAAAGAAAAAGAGAGAAAAACAGATTTGGGGTGCAATCCAAATAGGGTAATAATTGGGCGGGTTGGACCATTTTGAACTTGAAGTGCTAGTGGGCCAACCAGGTGGGGATGGTGACATGGGTTTGGAGCCTGCAAAAGACATCTGAGCTGACAATATTTATTAGGAGTGTCCTTTGTATGAGTCCCACGGTGCTCATGGGGATCACCTGGAGAGAGAATTCATTGCCCTGTTCTGGTCCCAAGGGTGAGAAGCAGAACTTCGTGCCACAGGAACGGCCTTCTGCTGGGCTTCTTCTGGTTCTCACTAGCTGATCTCTTTCAAGGAAGGTGTAAAGCCACCAAGTAATAAATGGCATGAAGCCTAGCTTGTGTGGTTCAGTGGTTGAGCATCTACCCATGAACCAGGAGGTCACCGGTTCGACTCCCTGTCTGGGCACATGCCTGGGTTATGGGCTTGATCCCCAGTAGGGGGCGTGCAGGAGGCAGCCGATGGATATTTTTCTCTCATCGATGTTTCTGTCTCTCTGTCCCTCTCCCTTCCTCCCTCTCTATAAAAAAACAATAAAAATATATAAGTAAATAAATAAATGGCATGAAAACTCTGCCTTTTCCCTCTGGAGTCTTTCCCTTCTCATAGGCAGTATGAAAGCTGCATTGTTTTCCCTCTTGCTTCAAAGCCAGGAGGCTCAGAACTGATTTTGTAACTTAATTTTAGAAATCATATACTCTTTTCCCAAACAATTACATTTTATATATTTATTTGTTTTCCTACTCTGCTTTCTTTCTTTGTTCTGTGTGCTCACATAAGCTGCCTCAGATCCTTTTTAAAGTTAGGGTTGTAACTGTATAAAAATAAATATTCCCCTCACACTACCTTTTTGGGTCATGCTTGCAGCCCTTGTGCGATGAGCCTGCCCAGTTGCTGAGCTAATATTGGCTAGACTGAAGTGGGAGGAACTCTTGGAATTTAAGCAGCTAGACAGCAAACTTAACACTTAGGTAACTCATTAAAACAGGATAAAAGTGGAGCTTCAAACTCCCTGTGTTTGCCACCAAGTCTGTGAAGCGAGGGGTACCTTTAACTCAGTTCAGCATGTACAAGTCTGACCTTTCAGAATTAAGAAAACACCGTTAAAACTGAATCCTTGTCCATGTAGATGAGCACTCCGGATACCTTCAAAGGAGGATTGAGGCATTGACTGCAAAATGGGGTGTTTTTTTAAGCTTATGGTGTCATTTTCTTGACATAAAATGTGGCTTGGTAAAGGCAAACTTCTTTATCAAGCAGCATACGCACAAAATTGACTGGATGGCAAATCTTATTTTGATCATCCCTGCTTTTTCATATAAATAATTATTTTAAAATTATAATTTGCTATTGGTTAAGATCACTGGGTAAATGGTTTTCAGGTCCTGTTCCATCTGGTGCCTTAGGGACTGCACAGGTGCAGGGAATGGGGGTGGGGAGGGAGGACCTCCAAGCCAGGAGAGCCAGCCACCACCCCCAGCACCCACCAGAGCAGCTGGCTATTTTAGGTAGCAGGGCCCCTTCTGCTTAAGGTGCTATCTGAAGAAACATTCTGCTTCTAAGAGTGAAAAGTCTGGAAATCATCACCCTGGAGGGCCCATCCCGCTGACTCGCTTTTGGGCTATGGAAGGGGCGGGCGGGGGAGGGGGTGGAACCTGGCCTTTGGTTCCCACTCTGCCTCTTACCAGCTCTGTGCCTGGGGATGACTTCCTCTCTGACACAGCTTTCTCATCCAGAATAGATGACAATAGCCACTTCACCAGGTAGGTGAGGATCTAATTAATCTCATTAGCAGGTGCAGAAGCATCGCCTGGTGGAGTTTAAGAGCTGACCCCCACACTCCAGGCCTCTCACCGCCCTCTCCCTTCTGCCTTTCCCAGGAGGAGCCAATCACCTTCTGTGAGGAAGCCTTCGTGTCCCACTATCGCTCTGGAGCCATGAGGCAGTTCCTGCAGAACGCCACCCAGCTGCAGCTCTTCAAGCAGGTGCCCGGCCCCCCTGTCTGGGCCTGCCTCTGGATCCCTCGGGGGAGGGGGACTCTGCAGCTGTCTTCACTGAGCACTGGGCTGCAGGCACGGGTGGGACTCCTGCCGGGGCCAAAGAGGGTGTGCGGAGGGGGGCTGGGTGAGTAGGGTGCTCAGCAACCAGACAGGCCCTTGCAAATATGCCACGCGGTTTTACGGGTTTTCATAACCATGTGGCCAGTTTTGGGGGACTCACTTTTTTGAAATGCATGGTTTCAAAGGCCCTTCCTGTCTTGGCAGGTGTGGTGGCTCCTTGGTCATACACTAAGGTGCCAGCCAAGTGATGTTCCTCCTTGTTTCTTTGTGCACAGTTCCGTTCTGTCCTTTCTTTTTTAGTTTATTGATGGGAGATTAGACCTTCTCAATTCCGGCGAAGGTTTCAGTGATGTTTTTGAAGAGGAGATCAACATGGGCGAGTACGCTGGTGAGCAGTGCTTTCTTTCCGTTCCTGTGCTGCGGGCTGTTCCGTGGGATCAGGGTGTGTTTCAGTGGTGACTTTTTGTTTCCATCACTTGAGGTTATGGAGAAACTGATTTCAACCCTGGCCCTAAAGTGTTTGAGGAATTGCTCTGCGTTTTCCGATGGGATGCACACTGGCCCATCTGCAGTCTTCTGTGCTGGGGCCAGCATGGTGCAGTGGAAAACACGAGGTTTCAGATTAGGAGACCCAGATTCAGAGCAGGACTCTCCTTACTAGCTGCGAGAACCTGGTCGAGTCATTCTGCCTCTTTCAGCTGAAATGTTTCTGTCTGTGTGCTGACAGTGACAGTACCTGGACTCCTGTTACAACTAAATCAGAGTCCGCGAGGAAAGGTTTGTGCAGTCACCCAGAACAGATCCAGCACAGGATCACAGCTCAGCCAGTGTTCCTTTCAAATGTGAAAATTGTCGCAGTGCCTGGTCTCTGCATGCCTTTAGAACTGGAGAGCTCATCCTCTCTGGTTTCAGAGGGGACATCTGAGGCCCGGGGAGGTGTTAGTGGCTGACCTTACCTCCTGAATCCCTGTCCGGCATGCTTTCCAGGTCCCCTAGCCCCAGTCTTTGGCAGCAAAGTAAAAACTAAAAGCAAAATTAATAACACCGTGCTGCTGGCCTCCTCTTATTGCTGGGCCCGGGTCTGTCTGGACTACACTGATCATCCAACTGTCCATCCTGAACTCATAGAGCCAGGCCACATGCCACCTACACAACCCATTTTACAGGCCCAGCCAGCCTGTTCTCCGGCCTGGGAGCGTAATCAGTGAAGCCAGTGTGCGAGCCATATGGTCATAGTGGACTGTTTAAAAGCATCTCCTGAGCACCTGCCCTGTCCCCCGCCCTAGAGAGTAGGAAATGGACCCATTTCTGCCCTCGGGGAGCTTTAGACGGGCAGGAGGAGATGCGTAACTAAGGACAAATGCAAATTAAACCCAAGCAAGAAAAGGAGTAGAAACAGTTCTTTGCGGTTGGAATGGGGCCCTGAATTCTCACTGAGAATGGGAGCGCTTCACGTAGGAGGCAGGTCTGAGGAGTCCTAACAGTTAAATATTTGTTCTGAGAAGAAGAGGGCCTTTCTGTGTTGCTAAAGTAAGTCAAGCCATTCAGAGCATCTAGAAAAGCTGTTTGCTAATAAAACCTCTGTATCCCACCAGGTAAAACAAGCAAGTTTCCCAACAACGCTGCCCTTTCCTTCCCCTACATGGCTCCCGTGCGCCTGCACTGGGATGTGTGCCCTGTGCTTCCCGCCCTGGGTGGCTCACAGGGCTTCCAAGAAAAAGGGCTTTGGAATGAGGGTCACCTAGCCAGCTGAAGGAAGCTTACAGTGGAAGTGACATCTGATCTGGTGGCTGAGTGTACTGAGCAGGGAGAGGAGAGAACGGTGGGCAGGCGGGGGAAATGGCATTCACGAGGAGTGGAGGACTGTGAGGGTGCACAGTCAGGGAGGCCCCCGGGAGTTAACTCCTCGAGGTTGGGACACAGTCCTATACGAAGGTGGCACTGGATGCAGTGGCAGAGGGCGGACAGTGCTGAGATGAGGCAGTGGGATCTGATCTCTGAGAAAGAAAACCTTGACGGCATCTGGCTGCTGCCTCCTTCAGGGAACGGGGCCTGGAAGCCTCCCTGTTCTTCAGATTTTGAACTTTCCAAGGCCTTTGTGCTGAAAGCAATTTGGGAAACTCCTGCACGCTCATCACTGCTTTAAATGACAGCTCTCTGACCCTTCTTTCCCCAGGCAGCGACAGACTATACCACCAGTGGCTCTCCACAGTCCGGGTAAGTGTGCTCCCCTCCAAGCCACCTGGGCCCCTCCTTCGCCTCCTGGCAGCCCTGCACTTCCCGCCACCCACAAGGCTGCCATTCGGCCTGGGGCACCCCATTCTGTCAGCTGAAGATGCTTTTGTTTGTAAGGCCAGGTAGAGCTGGCAGGGTGAGACTGTCCAAAGCCATCCAGTGAGGGTAGGGAGAGCCAGGAGAAGCCTCCTCACTCCAGGATGCTGGCCAAGGCATGTCAAGTGGATGTAGTCATCTTAGGGCTTTACTGATGTCTCCTTCCAGGGCAGTGCAATTGGGAAATTGTCGTGGGAAAACCCAAAATATGTCCTCCTTGCCGGTCTGCAGTGTGTTTCCCAGCCAAGGCTCCTGGACAGGCAGAGACTGTACCTCACTGAGAGAGCTTTTCATCCCCTGACTATCATGAACAGTTTCTTGTGTGAGAAGCCAAGTGCTGAGGGGGCTTCAGAAGCCACTGACCAATTCACAGTCTTGCCTTCCTCTTATGTGGCTCTGTCAGTGAGTGTGGACTGCAGGCCTGTGTGCCGGGCCCCACCCTGGAGATGGGGTACAATGGGGAGCAGACACAGGCCCTGCTCTAGGGGAGCTCTCCTCTTGCTCAGGAGGCAGGCATGTAAACAGGCAACTCCAACATAATGTGAAAGTTTTGTCCCCTGCTCTTGGGCCAAGTGCGCTGCTGCCAAGGCGGGTCCCTTGGAAGTGGCTGCCGTTGGCCGAGAGTAAGCAGTTCCTCGATGAAAGACTTCTTTTGTTCTTCTGGTACGGCCAAACGTGGCACTTGGCAAACCATAGACAAGCAATAAGCACTTGTTGATTGATTGATAAAGAGCATTTTACTACTCCAGAGGACCACTGAAACCGAATACTAAGTAATTTGGAAAGCATTATGGAACAAATGAGTAGGTGAAAATTTCATATTGTCCTGCAACATAGAATGCTTTCTAGGTCAAATTGTAATGTTTTTAATTAAAGCTCAAAATTTCTAATATGGACAGTCACCAGAAACTGTGCTAAAAGTTAATCCCAATGACGATGTTACTGCATCTTCTTCTTTCACATATTCATTGGATCTAGTCTCTTTCTCTGTTCAAATCAGTTAGAAGTAAATTTCCGAACCACTACAGATCTGATTATGTGATGCACTTGATTAAAGTTCCTGTAGTGTGTGGACTCCTGATCCTGACCCCATCTGGCCTTGCAGCCCCGCTTGCCATCCCTCCCGTGCTATACTGACCGCTTGCCACTCACAGACACGCCGTGGCCCTTCGGCTTCTGCGCTTGTGCACGTGCTATTTCCTACTGCTAGGATGTTCTTATCCTTCCTCTCCCACACGGACTCCTGCTCATCCTTCGTGGACCAGCCAAATGTTTCATAAGCCTTCTCTGACCTTGCAAACGATGAGCTGCCTCCACACTGCTGTGCACACAGCCAGCACAGCTCTCGTCACCTCAGGTTGAAGTTACGTACCTGGTGTACCCCCCGGACTGAAGGTCTTTGAAGCAGAGACCTGCCCTCCTGTTCTCAGTACCCTCAGAGCCTGGCACAGGGCATCCCCTCGGTGAGCCCTCACGGTGCCTGGGCCTATGCACTTGGTACCCATTCATTTCCCCTTTAGTGTGCTGGGAAAGCCTTCCCTCCCCTCCTTCCCCTCCTCCTCTCCTTCCCCTGCTCTCCTAAAGAAACTGAGCCGAGAAATCAGTATGTGGGATTTATACTAAAGCCATGATTAACATTTATGGCTATTCATTCTTGCCCTTTCTCAAGCTATAGATGTTAAGGAAGGCAGCCTACCAGAGTGATTAAAACAGCACAGGCTGAGCAAAGGAAGGTGCATCCTGAGGGTGGCATATTTCCAGAGTAGCCAGGCAGTCCCAGCTAACCAGGCCCCCGGGTCTCTGCCCTGGCTTGGTGTTAGCCAGAGAGTCCATTGTTGTGAAACTCACCTCAGTGCTGTCCCGGTAACTGGACTATCTTGAGAATCCATAGATTACTGTGGGGAGCCCTGACCTCAGAGAGCCTGTGATGAGCTTTCCTTCCAGCCAGTGGACAGGTGCCAAGCCAAGTACTGAGCCCAGAGTCCCCCTCAGTTCATCATCACCATCCCCATCCCCCACCCCCAACACCCACAGTGATTCTGCTATGGCCATAACCAACTGCCTGGGACCGGTTACCATCCTGGCCCATTTCTCTAATTAAATTACATGCTCTTGAAGTGTTGCTTAACTTGATTAAAGAGAAGAGGTCTTTGTTGGTGTTGGCCAGCTACGCCTTCAGCCCGCATTGCTGACTGGCGTTTTTATTATAGAAAGGAAGTGGAGCAATCCTGAACACTGTGAAAACGCGAGCAAACCCAGCCATGAAGACTGTCTATAAGTTCGTAAGTACTGGTCTTGGTCTCCGGACCCAGACAGATCTGCTCCTTAGCAGGACGAAACTCTTAAACTCACGGGATCCTCTCTGCAGAGGTGACTCGACTGCTGCGCTGTTCCTGCACCTCAGTGCTCTTAGAATTACTTAGCGTTGATATTTCATGACCAGGCCGGTGACATTTTTTATTTCAAGTGTTTCTGCCTACAGTTGCCGCAAGAGAGAAATGGGAAACTACTGGTTTTAGCTTTTAAAATGTGGGCTGGGTGGCTAAAATTCTGGCTGCTCCATGCCGGCGTCCCTGAGACCGGGAGGTTGTAGCAAACCTTTCCTGTGTCTCCTGGTTATTATGTCAGAATATAGCGGCTACTTTGCAGATTACTGAAGAGTGTTCATTGTGGGAGACACCCCCTGATTTTTGTCCCAAATTCTTCATGGTCTCTCATCACTGCCCCATAGGAAGTGCATTGTCTGTGAAAGTCGTGCACATAGCAGTGAAATTAGAACATGTCCGTTCCTGACGCCGCATCTTTTACAAGCCTCAAGTATTTGCTTCTTGTGATTTCTCTTGCTTCTGATTTGACTCTGAGCTGCTTAACTGGGTGGTTTTATTTCCATTTTTTAATTTTGTTAGTCCTTTCTGTGCGTAAGTTGTAGTTATTTTAATGGGGTGGGTGGCTGCTAACAGAACCACACAGGTCTAAAATGACAAAAAATAAAAGCCAAGGTGTCTGCCGAAATGAGATTTAAGAAATGGCACTGGAAAGACGCAGCGATGCATCCGTTCAGGCCATTCAGCCTGGTGAGAAAACTGGTCCCGAAGCCCTGCCTGGTGAAAGGAATAGATGCTCTCAGTCTTGCAGCCAGAAGTGCTGCTGCTCAACTCTCACTGGTTGCTGTCACCAGGCTGCTGAGATAAATAATTACAGAGAGCAGAAAGGGGGGGGAGGATATCTGTGCCATCAAAATGCAGACAATAAAATCTCTGTTGCCCCTTTATGGGGTTTTTTTTTAACCTTTTAACAGTGTATTTGTTTTCTTAGCCATTACGTTTTCGACTTGATGATCCCGTTTTTTCCTTTCTTCCTAGTAATCAGAGAAGGTGGTTCACGACGGACTGAAATCAAGCACAGTCCCTGCTGGGAACAGAAGGGGAATCTTAACTTAAATTAATTTTTCATGCAGGCAAAAGATCATGCAAAAATGGGAATAAAAGAGGTGAAAAACCGCTTGAAGCAAAAGGTACTTGAAGTTCTTATTCAAAATGTATAAGCACCGTGTATGAAATGCGCGGCCACAGAAAAGTACGGCGTGATCAATAGAGGGCTGTTTGATACAGTGTTGCTAGCACACTTCAAAATGCATTACCAGCTGTCCGGGAGTTCTCACACTGTTATAAATATTCACAGACGGAAAACTGTCTTCAAATATCATTAAGACTCTGGCTTAAACCCACAAAGGCAAACAAGTTCAGAGTTACCATTGTCGGCCTGTCCCTTGCCCACCCCACCGGGCCCGGGGCCACCCAGGTCTGTAGAAATTGGCTCAGTCTCTCCATCTCGGCACCATTCCCTCTACAGCTGACCTGGGACTGGTTGTAACCAAACCCCAGACGCATCTCCAGAAAAATGCCTGCCGTGGGTCCTGCATGCATGTGCCCCCGTGCAGACACAGGGCACAAACGGTGGGTTTGAGGAGGACACTGCGGGCTCTCCCCACAGTGGTGATTTTAACCCAGAGGAACCCAGCAGTTTGTGTTTGAGACTGTTAGGGGGCATGGAAAAGTTCCGATTGTCTTCTTGGACCATCTGGAAATTGTACAAAGTCATATAGGCTACATCCTAAGAGTCCTCCTACCTGATTCTCTAGACTTGTGCAGGGAGGTTAATGTAAGAGAGAGAGCATTTCATATTATTATGAATGCCATCACCATTGTTATTGCTGCCACCTTCATTAAGCACTAAGGACGGTCCAGGCTAGGAGCTTTCACATTTAATCCTCAAAACCACACTGGGGGTATTATTCCCATTTCATGTGGAAGGAGACCACAGGTCAAAGGTGAAGTCATCTGCCCACGGGTCACACTGGCCGAGTCAGGATTAGATTCTAGGTCCATCTGCATCCAGTGACTCTGTTCTAACACTACAGTGTTTTGTTTGCCAGAAGATGTTTGGGATCACTTCCTTCATTAACCCACACATCCCAAACGTGCCGCTCTAATAAGGGCCTTTGTCTGTCTCGGCAGTTTTTTAAAAATTGAAAGCAGTTTTAATTTTACAAAGTCAGAAAGGACCTCTCATTAACTTGAAATGGTCAAAGGAATTGATTCCTTTCTTTTAATTGCAAAATAATTTGCTCTGACTAAGCAGTTAAATTCTTCGTTTCAGCTGAGAGTGAATTTTTAGCAGCTGAGATTCAAGTCCTGAAGTAAAAGTCCTGTCATGTAGATCCAGGTAGACCTTAGCTGTGGCCTGCTGCACCCTGCCTGACTGGCAGGTGGAATGCTTTACTGGAATATCTCCTATCCCAGTCGCACGTAGCTGATTGGATGGCAGTTGTAAAGTGGAGTGGCCAGGAGGGGGATTCTCTGGCCAGATTTCCCTCCTAATGACCAGATCCCAGCTCTGGCTAGCATTAGAATATTACTTGAAGTAAGCAAAGAAGAGGGTCCCGCCTTAGGCGGAGGACAGATGTGCCTCACCGGTCAGATCTGCTCTCCACAGGCCTTTGCCCCCCTCTGGGTACATGTGAACATTAAGAAAAGCCCCTGTTCATGATACGTAACATTTCCACAAATACCTGGTTCATCTCCGGGCTTTTTGATGCTGTTGTTCAGAGGTTCCCTTAAACATCTAGATCTCTTTCCTTCCACGCCCTCACCCTGTCCTTTCTTTCCTTGACAGCACCTGAAACAGACTTTCCTCCCCTTCTCCAGCCTTTTCAAGAATAGCTTCAGGAGATAATGTTCTATAGAGACTGTCAGTACATTTCAGGTGACACAAATGGTGAAGGCATTTTATAGAAGCGTGGCTTGTCACCATCGGACTGTTGACAGATCCATTAGTGCACCCTTTTCAATTTTCACTTTTCCCCCTTCGGTCCAACAGCTCTCCGCAGACCTGATGCTGTGCAGTTGTGCTTGGAGGAGCTCTTTTGTCATTGAAACTCTAGCATTGTTCAGTGCAGACAGGACCTGGTCTTCTGCAGAGCTCCCGCTTCCTTTCTTCAGCTAATGTAGGATTTGGCTTCCTCTGACCCCTCTCACAGCTGTAGGAAATATTTCCTTGGCTTTCTTGTTCCCCTCCCTCTGCCCCCTTTCCTTTCTATGGCAGCATATCTATATGTGGCTCCCACATATGTCTAATACATCTCAAGTTTGGTTTCTGCTATGAAATTGAGGCAGTTCCCAACAAAGATCCAATTTTCAAATGTACTGGGTTGCCACCCGGCCGCCTCTAGCTGCATAGCAGTGGTGACCTCGCAGATATAATCAAGAACCCAGTCGTGCCCCCTGCGCTCCTGCCTTGGGTTTGAATTGCAAATAGAAAATGTGGGGCCGACCTGTGGAGAGGTCACCATGGTGTGTGGAGGGTCCATCTCTAATATGACTGAGCAGGGCCCCTTCTCCATCCCTTGTTCATTTGTGCTGCCGATTTTCAAAGCATCTGAAGCTGGAGCTTTCAGGGTATCCTTGTGACCACCGGCAAATAATTGTCATACGCACTGTAGTGTGGCTTTATTCCACGCCTGCTCTGCCTCAGCCCAACAACAAAAAAAGAAGGCTGGATAATATTTCTCTGGATTAATGGAGCGAGGTGGTCAAGTTCTCCTATAGCTGGGCCTCCTTTGAAGTCTGACTTGCTCAAAATTAGGAAGAAGAGAGATGGCAAAGATGCTACTCAGGCGTTGCTTCCTAAAGAGAGAATGGGGGGCTCCCACCCCCATCCCCAGACCTGCAGAAGAAGGCCACCTGGTGGGGGCTCGTGATCGTCACCAGATGGCATCCAGTCACAGCCCCGCGCAGGCTGACATCAGAATGCCCTGTTCCTCCTCACCTGCAGGGGGCAGTAAAATTTTCACACA